TCTTGTTTTTTGTTTAATGAATCAGCAATATAGCCTTCTGCAACTTCCGACTTCCAACCTCCTAGTCGCTATAAGGACGTCAAATTGGCACCTGAATCTGCTAATAATGTAGCAGAGGTCCTCCTGAAGCTGTGTCCAGTATAATACTCAGCATCCGGCAGACCAAGAAACGTATCTATTTCTTTTAGCATATTACCAAATTTGTTTATCCCGATTGCTTGAGCATTGTACACTTCACTTTTTGATAATTTTGGAAAGAACGGTCGGTTTTTACTTTTTGGGACCGCTGATTCATATATTTTTGCACTATTACTATCCTTATTTTCAGCATACTTTTTATCATCGAAAACCGCGACCATAACGTAGAAGGTTTTAATTTTGCTGGGAGTCCGGAGAAGTATGCCAACATAACAATGTCTGAAAAACTATTAGCTTTTTTCTCTTCTCTCCACGCAATAAATTCGTCGTATGTAGATATGTAGCGACTTTTTGACTTTACCGGCAAAATGTTCTCCGAAGCATTTTGTGCAATTAATTATACTGAGTTCCGGTGGTGTTAATTCAAATAAAATATCGAGTAAAAGAATATAAAAAAGTTTTTTTTTGTTTTCTTCACCTATTTTGGGTAGGCAAAGGGAACTATGCCTATATATACAGCCAAGTCTTCAGTAGATTTTTTTATTGATATGAAATGAAAATGAAATTTAATTATATGAAATGAAATGAAATCTAACCTAACTCTTTGAATAAAATCATTAAATCTGATATTGAAACAAATTAGTAGCTTCTTTTTAGAAATATTTGCATGAATCATAAAAACTTCTATGAAACCTTTTTTAGTAAAAACTTCGTGGTTGTTTTTATCTTTTTAATAGACATTATTTTGACAGTTGGGAAAGAGAACGAGCACGAGTTCGGATTAGGAAAAGAAAAAGCTCGAGTATGTAATACCCTCCATCCCGAACGCTATACGTCCCTGCAATACGTCACTTTTTGAGCAACTGTATTAATATTATCCAAACTACTAATTCTTGGTGATGAAAGGAGTAGAAAGCTTTTAGATGATTTCCATTTACATTACTTAGAGAAGACCACAGTGATAAAAAAAGATATTCTTCAAATGTATAATTTTATGAGATCAGGTAAATGCTTAAATACAAATATATTAATTATCCTGCTTCAGTTTGTACCTAGTCGGTACTTTGCTGTAAATCCAAATTTAAAAATAGATTCATTAATAATATTTTACACCTAGTGAATGCAAATTGTCCGCAAATTATCGACACTAGGCACAATAAAATTCCCATTTCCAACTAATTTAACACGCAGTTGTTAAAATAATTTCACTGTATTTTCCAGGTGCATTAATACTCGTCGATTTGTTTCATTAAATGAATTACTTTCGAATAATTTATTTCCGTCGTAGGAAAATGATAGAATTATCGAGTTATTATTTGGTATTTAGTTATTAGTGAGATTAATCATCATTATGGGCCTATTAATGTCTCCACTGCTGGGGTCAGGTCTTGCTTAGGGGAGGACGGATCAGGAAAAACGGCCCATGACCCTTGGTGGGTACTTACGATCGCAGACGCAACCGACGGCATAACTATTAGTTCTATAGTATTGAAATCTGTAATTGTATATAATACATGGCCACTTAACAACTTTGGACGATATAGAAGTTGGTGCATTTAGACTGTGTTTGGGGACGATAAAGCAATTCCTGCCAAGGCGGATTTATACTTGTAGTTAGTAAAGAAAAAAATGTAATTATAGCTATTAACGGGATTGTTACCATGTACCTTGTTTTTTATGAGTCTCCGATATTTCGGCACTGTTGCAAGCGCCATGATCACGGAGTAACTCCAAAAACAAGGTACATGGTAACAATCCCGTTAATAGCTATAATGTTAGTGACCATGAAAGTTTAAAACAAAAAAATGTAAGTATATCTAGCACTGAAAGTTTTAGGAGGAGCATTAAACCATTGGTGTTGGCATCTACAGTTGTTTGCCTCATCAATCCGCAATAAGCCCACTCTAAATCCATGGAGCATATACAGGGCGTCCCACGGCTACCTCACACGGAGGGAAAGTATATTAAATATTGAAGATAGGACATTTTACTGAAAGAAGACATCATTTTATTTTTAATAGTAACTAGAACTGCATTCACAGATTTTTTTTAAAATCGCCTGTTACAACTGGGAATCAAACTCGTGAAATTTCGAAAAAAAACACGACGTATTTAATGATAACCATCGAAAGGGTTAATCATAAGGATTATGTTTTGCTAAATAACTTAGCATTTTAAATGAAAGGAATGTCTTATAACGTGATAAAAATAATAAAGTGATATACAAATTGCAATACACGGTGCCGTTCTCGAAGTTGTTCAAAAATATGTATACCTCGGGCAGACATTGCAGTTAGGTAGAAACAACTTTGAGGACGAGGTGAATAGAAGAGTTCAGCTAGGTTGGGCAGCGTTTGGGAAGCTACTTCAAGTCCTGATATCGTCGATCCCACAGTGCCTAAAGACGAAAGTCTTCAATCAGTGCGTCCTACCTGTGATGACATACGGAGCCGAGACGTGGACACTGACGGCACGGCTGATCCACAGGTTCAAAGTCGCTCAACGCGCTATGGAAAGGGCTATGCTCGGCGTTTCTCTGAAAGATCGCATCAGAAATGAGGTAATCCGACAGAGAACCAGAGTTATCGACATAGCCCACCGGATTAGCAAGTTCAAGTGGCAGTGGGCTGGCCATATTGGCCGAAGAACCGATAACCGTTGGGGTAGACGAGTTCTGGAGTGGAGACCGCGTCTAGGCAAACGTAGTGTAGGACGTCCTCAGGCACGATGGAGTGACGATTTGCGCAAGGTGGCTGGCAGGAGCTGGATGCGAGTAGCCCAAGATCGATCTAAGTGGCGTGCATTTGGAGAGGCCTATGTCCAGCAGTGAACTATGATAGGCTGTTGATGATACAAATTGTAGTACGTATGCATTTCTTTTTGAATTCAGTTACAATGCGATTGACTGATTTTTTTTTGTTAATTTACTTACCATGGTGCATCAAAATAAAATAGATTTAATGTAAGCTTACTTTATGAACCACAAAGACATATCATTAGCTTAGCGGTGGTACCGCAAAAGATATACTGATAGAGACAAACCTTCTCGATATGTGTTTAAATAATGAAAGAAAGATAGAAATAGAGAAAGATTTTTGATAAGCCATGGTAAGTAAATTAATTTATTAACAAAAAATGCAAAAAAATCAAAATAAAACTCACAAAAAACAAAAGAACAGACACTTGAAAATTTATGTGTTCCATTTTCGAATTATTATTATTGCAAATTTCTGCCAGTCGCATTGTTACTGTGACTTCAAAAAGAAATGCATAAGTACTACAGTTTGTATAACACTTTATTATTTTTATCACGTAATTTACATTCCTTTCATTTAAAATGCTATGTTATTTAGCAAAAAATAATCCTTATGATTAACCCTATCGATGGTTATCATAAAATATGCCGTTTTTCGAAATTTTACGAGTTTTATTCCCAGTTTTTATTTTTAAAAAATATGTGAATGCAATTCTAGTTATTATTAAAAATAAAATGATGTCCTCTTTCAGTAAAATTTCCTATCTTCAATATTTAATATAGTTTCCCTCCGTGTGAGGTAGCCGTGGGACGCCCTGTATACACTATGCTTAAAATTTCGAGTCGGACACGAAAGGTTCCGTACTACAAGCTTAATTAAATTTATTTTTTAGTAATCTACAAGTAAAGAGCTACAATCCATAGTTATAGAGCCATTTCATTAGATTTATAACGCGGTACAATTAGATAAATTTTGATTTTGTAATTCACAACAAGTACTTAATCCCCTAGTCGGAGTTTAATTAAGTAGGTATATACTTTATTCGTCCGTGTTTGGGTCGGACATACATAATATATGTGTATCAAATTTCAACTTTATCGGTCCTGTAGATACCAGCAGACAGACAACTGAGTGATCCTATAAGGGTTCCGTTTTTACGGATTGAGGTATGGCCCTACAAAAGGCTGTACTCCATTAGTACTTACTAGGTCGATGAAGTAAGCATATAACTATATCCTGAGAAAAAATCGCTAAAAATATTATAGTATTCTTCTAAAATATCTGGTGTTTGTACGGTTATTTCACGGGGATTCTGAAATCCGTCACGGACAAAAAGATCAATAAAAATAACATTATAAATTCAATGATATAAAGAAATAGAATGTCATCAAGCTAGTCAGGCAATAAAATCAAATTTTTAGGCAAATAAAGTACGAAGAACTTGAGTACTGACAAATTCAATTGAGCGCGAAATCTCAGAGTTGCCATCAAAGCTAGCAGGTTTTACGGTCACAAATGACTTCACACTCGGTTAGAGGTGCACGGGCCAAGTTCTAATCTTCGCCCCGTAACTTTGGTGATATCGAGACGAAGCTTTACTTTTATTCCCCCTTCCCTCTCTCTTATTAAAACTTCACCCATATTACTATTACTCGATTCTTCCACTTTTATGACTTTTGTTCTTGATTCTTTCCTGGAAGTTATACGGACTTCGACAACGCTGGTTCGTTTTTAAGTTCGATGTTATGAAATTCATGAGGTAAGGCGACGGCGTCGAATACAAATTTTGTTAATATTAATTTAACGGGAGACATTTGGAGCAGGTATCATGTTATGATTTTACTAATATGCTAAAGTTATACTTAACTGGTAACCTTTTGCGATGTTTACCCCTTGATCATATTTAAGTACATTTACATACCATTTCTAACTATCGTAAACATTATTTAGAGCTCAATAAAAGTTTTCGGAACTTGACACTTACCTCAATCATGAGGTATATATCATGTGATAAATCATCAGATTTATCACATGATTCATGGGAGAAGTGAACCAGAACAGGTTTTAATTTAAGAAAAAAATCAAAAGAGATTACATTGTTTCCAGGTCAAAATTACCTACGAAGCCCCTGCAGTCTCTCTTCCGGATCTCCTTTACGTATTGCCCATTCGCAGGGGCTATTGCTGTCCTCCTCATCGGTGTGCCAATGAGTTACTTGACTGGTAAACCGAGGACCGAGTCAATGAACCCCGACGTATTCTGCCCCCTGACGCAGAGCATCTTGAACAAGTCACAGATGAGAAGTCCGGCTTCCTCCTGTGAAATACGACCACCGGATACGCAAGAGGTGTACTTGGCGTTGGACGAAGCCCTGAAACATTTAAAAGAGGTTATAGAACGATAATAAAAAGTTTTCATGTTTTGGTAATTTTCTTTTTTATTCTTACTAGCGAGAGTTTGCTGGGACTGTGCTGAATTTCACATTTAGTTATTTAAAGTCATAAATGTCGTTATGGAAACTTTGCCGAAGAGCGCTTTATAGATAGATCAAGGCTCGTAACTTTTTGCGCTAACGCTATAAAGACAGTGGCGCCACAGTTGTTGTATTAAAAAACCGGCCAAGTGCGTGTCGTGCCACGCGCAGTGTAGGGTGCCGTAGTTGCCTGTAGTTTCCACAATATATTTTCGTGATTACATGAGTCTTTATTTTCCATATCGGAAATTATAAAAAACAAATAATATCAATCTATGTATCTCAACTAAAATACCTAAATCAAAGTCAAACTGCGTCTCAAACTCGAAATCAATTTGATATTATATTAATGTTAACTCGTCGTTAGCAGACTGCGATATAATAACATTAAGTGAGACATGGTAAGGTAGTGACATCTTAGACTGAACTTTTAATAACGATTTTTCTGTGTAAAGGCATGATAGGAGATCTAGTGGCAATAAATCAGGGGGTGGAGTTCTTATAACCCTCTCAAAGAAACACTCATATAGACTTTCTTACTATGAAAGTAAGTGTGAAGATATCTGAATCGGGGTAGCCATTTACTTAAACAAAAAGCCTATCAGATTAAAGATCTGTGGTGTATACCTACCATCACCTATTAAAGAAGACATTTATTAACAACACGTGTAAAGTACTTTGAAGGTCCCTCTCTTTTCGTTGGAGACTTTAACCTAGGAAAGGTATCATGGAAGCCATCAAACTCTGTACATAAACTGGATCCTCTAATTCAAATAGTAAATTAAACAACACATTGTTGGATTTTATCTCTTTCGCCAATTTAAATCAGTTTGATTTGGTGAAAAACAATAATGATATAATTTTGGATTTAGTACTTTGTGACACAATGTTGACTGGTCTGCAATCAATCCACATCATTTACCACTTTATTTCTATATATTAAGTGAAACTAGCTCATCGGAATCCACCAATGAAATAATAAATAAGTTTTTTTTTTAAACCAATACCGATACCAGCATAATTAATCACCTTAAAAAAGGTGATTGGTGCGAAATATTTTCAAAATTAAGTGACGTAGATCAAATGGTAGATATATTTTATAAGATATTACATGAAGCTATTATAAAATACGTCCCTTAAAGCAAGCATGACACCCTCAGGTATCCCGTATGGTTTGATAGAGATTTGTAAATTATTTTAAAAGAATTAAAGAAGTATAGAGTTCTTTAATTAAAAAACAAAAACGCTAAAGACAAAATTTCTTTTCAAATTCTTAAACAAAAATCTACAAACTTCCGCTCCTCCTTGGAATACTGCAGCGTGGTATGGTCTCCACGTTACGAAGTCCATATTAAGCGCATCGAATCTATATAAAAGCGGTTCATGTGGCATTTAGCATTTATTTAGTAAAACTACTGCCCCCTATAATGAACGATTATCACATTTCAAAATACTAAGCCTACAAAAGAGACAGCAGTTATTGAATCAATTGTTTTTGCACAAATTGTTAATAGTACCATAGACTGATATCATCTTTTAGAGCAAACAATTTTTTCTATACCTCGTAAGCTTGCTAGGGTTTCTCGTTTTAAATTGTTTTCACCAATTTTTTTTAAGAGCAATGTGGGTCATTTTTCTACATTAGATAGATTGCAGTTCCGGTTCGGAACTCATTCTAAGAATTCTGTATTAGACATTAATTCTAAGTTAATGAGTTTAAAAGAATGTTGTTAGAAATTTTTTAATCATAAATAGCCCAATTATTTGCATGACTTTACTCTGTGATAAATTTTGCGAAGGTAGGGGAGAGTGGGTAACAATGGATCAATTTTTTTTTCAAGCTCCAAAAATCCCAAGTTTATGCGTAAATAATTAATCTATGATAATTAACCACAAGATATGTCCCTAATCTACAAAACCACAAAATTATTGGTAAAAACGGCATAAATTTACAAGTTATAACAAGTTTTTTAAAAAATGGGAAATGATCCACTGTGACCCGTGGATGGGTCACTTTGGATCTTTTCATGGGTGACAGGGAATCGCTTGGGGTACACTGGATCTTTTAAAAAAAAGTTCAATAGAATACCAATTTTCTTCATAATTATTTATTTATTTATATTCCAAGACAGCCTTCTAGCACAGTCTTATCAAAAATTAACAAGTTTTTCAAATTATGCTGGTATAAATAGACCTAAACTAATCAACATTTTGTTTAAATAAACAACAGTTCTTCTCCTTTCATTTCCACAAAGTTCTCTTCTCTATTCAAATAAACATATTTACTTCTTCAGTAATCATTAACACACATTTTAATAAGAATTTTGTTAAATGCTAACTCAATTATTAAACATAAATATATTTACTCCTCGAGTAATCATTAATATAAACTTTAATAGGAACATTGTTGATATATCAACTATTAAAAATAAAAATTATTACTTTTTCAGTAATCGTTAACAAAAACTAACTATTAAAACAAATATTTTCATTTTCTGATATCTCAAAATTGTCTGAGATTCGGTTTGAGGTCAAATTAAATTAGATTAGCGTAAATTAATTTTAAAAAGATCAACGTTTAAGTTGTACATGCCTTGCTTCCTCTTTGTAGTCCCAGAAAACGGTTTTGGTAAAATCATCTTAATATCATGCAGCGCTACCGTGCAGCTACAGTCCGCTGTGACCCAAATGAAAAGTATTCACTGTGACCCATAGGCCGGTACGACACAAAAAAAATATTCAAAAAATAACTACTTATACCCAAGCCAAAATTACATTACCCACAAAGGATTTATCAAATAACAAGTTCAAAACATACGACTATCATTTATATTTATTAAAGGGTTGGGAATACGACAAATTTTTAAATTACGTAAAAAAATACTTTCGTACTTACCTATTGTTCTGCGTGTGCACGTGATTCCGCTCGGCGAGCGCGGCGGCGACCGGCGCGTGAGAGGGGGGTATCGACGAGCAGTAGCCACCCGTTTGCTTGTGTGCGTAAAGCATCAGACGTAAGAATTATAGCGAATAATCCGCTGTGACGCGTGATCCGCTGTTACCCACTCTCCCCTACTTAAATAACTTATGCGAATTTTGTAATAATTTATAAAAAATCCTTCCAAATGATTAGTGCTTGTCGTGGCATTTTTGTTATTATCGTCACACTACCTTTTTTATTGCACAACCATGTAATCGTAGCATGTTTTAGTTTGTGTCTTGTATACCCTCCTTAATTATTTTTTTTAATTTTTCTAATAAGTTTTTTTTTGTTTTTTCCCAGGCGGATAAAGGATACCCTACAGCCGGCTGCAGGGTTATGACAGACTCTTACTAACTAAAGTAAAGCAAAAATTAACGCTTTAAAGTTTTAATATATCGCAAACGGATCCCTAAATCGAAAAATAGTCTAAATAATTTTAAAGGATCTATTCAACTATATCCCATACGATGGGGTCATGGGATGGGAAAAATCATCCCCAGGTTACATGTAGGGGAGCCACCCTAAAAAAATATTTTTCAGAAATTTTGTCTACCATTTTGTCGGCATGATTAATATACATATCTCCACAAAATTACAGCTCTCTAGTGCTGACAGTCTCCAAGTAAAACCGGGGACGGACAGACGGACATGTAGAAACTATAAGAATTCCTTCCTAACGGACATGTAGAAACTATAAGAAAAAATGATGTCTAAGCACTCGATGAATTTACATAAAAGGAAAGATTATGACTTTTATGAATTAGATGTGAGAATCGGTGTGGCAAAACAACATTATCAACCTCACTATTTCAAGTTTTAATTCAATCATGATGAAAATAGCATTAACTGCTTCTTCAAAATCCACATGATCAAAGCTTCTTGAAATCAATTTAGTTGTTTTTTGGCGGAAACTTAATAGACATACAACTTTATTACGTTCAATAATCAAGTAAATCGCAATTTTAACCTTATTGGGTAAAAGTCTCTAAATAAAAATTGTTAAGTATAAAAAAATCTTTGGTAAAACCTTTGTAGAACACTCACACAATGGAAGGTTAATTGATAACTAAATCTGGGAAAATTACGAGTTACATACTTATTATTTATTTTATGAACTTTCTTTATAGTTTGCTACTAATTATAATACATTTTTTAAGCTTTTAGATGCTTAAATGAAGTAAGTATTAAAGTAAATTTATGTATAGGTATAATCAAAAACCTTTGACTTCTGTAAAACAATAAATCTGAATTCATAGATACATTTTTTTTACTCTGCCTTTTACCATTCGTGATATACATACAACCCACCAACAGACGTACAGAGTAACATCTTAAACTAGTAAGTTATAAGGCCTTAATATCACCTGTTTGTTACGGCACAACACAAAATATCAATCAAAAGAACATTTAGGACTGGGTATAACGTGAAATTCACACCAATCTACGATTGTCTATAAAGCATTAGTGAAATGGAAACGGTTTAACGGCCAAATAAATGTTTAACAAATTCCAAAGTCATCCTCCATTATTCATGTGACGCCGATGATATATCGAGCGTCATTAAGTCGCTCACCTGATCTGAATTCTTCCTTCCTAAATATTTCCATTCATCATTTTCTTCGAGACTACCGATTTACCCATAATTTGCTCATCGAACTCTCCTTGTATTTTCCTAATACAACTATATTAAGAGCTTTTTTATATAAGAAATCTGAAATCTGGAGTGATAAATAACTTATGTTCTATAACATCTTTTTCAGCGTTAGTATAATATTAGATGGTTGTCCTCATCATCATCACATTATTGTTCCCACTGGGGTACAGTACACACCTTCCCTATGGATGGTATAAGGAGACTGGGCCGTTATCCACCACGGGGCCACTGCGGATTGCTGGGTACTAACGACAGCAGATGCTTAACGTGCCTTCCGAAGCACGGAGGATCTCGAGATACTAGGTTTTTCGTCACCCATCCAATAACAGATCATTGGGAAAGTTTCTTAACTTCCAATGCCGAAATCTCCAATGTCGAAATCGATCCTCAATAGTTGGCCTAAATCTTCCAAATTTTTAACGAGCGCGTTTTGTATTTAACCAGCAGAAACCAAATGTTTACCAACCCAAGAGGATGATTGTTACACGATAGGCTTTTGACAAAATGTAAAATAATGTAGCAGAGACGGTAATTACGCCTGAGGGAGTAAAGTGGGCTATCAACTGCTTTGCGCCTTTCAAATCTGCTGGCTCTGACGGCATCTTTCCAGCACTACTAC